TATGAGTATTGCTACTCCAGCTTTCTTTTGGTTTCCATTTGCATGGAATATCTTTTTCCATCCTCTCACTTTCAGTCTGTATGTGTCCCTAGGTCTGAAGTGGGTCTCTCGTAGACAGCATATATATGGGTCTTGTTTTTGTATCCATTCAGCAAGTCTGTGTGTTTTGGTTGGAGCATTTAATCCATTCATGTTTAAGGTAATTATCGATATGTATGTTACTATGAGCATTTTCTTAATTGTTTTGGGTTTGTTTTTGTAGGTCCTTTTCTTCTCCTGTGTTTCGTACTTAGAGAAGTTCCTTTAGCATTTGTTGTAGAGCTGGTTTGGTGGTGCTGAGTTTTCTTAGCTTTTGCTTGTCTGTAAAGCTTTTGATTTCTCCATCAAATCTGAATGAGATCCTTGCTGGGTAGAGTAATGTTGGTTGTGTAGGTTCTTCCCTTTCATCACTTTAAGTATATCATGCCACTGCCTTCGGCTTGTAGAGTTTCTGCTGAGAAATCAGCTGTTAACCTTATGGGAGTCCCGTTGTATGTAATTTTTCATTTTTCCTTTGCTGCTTTGTTCTTTTTCTTTGTCTTTAATTTTTGTCAGTTTGATTATTATGTGTCTCGGCGTGTTTCTCCTTGGGTTTATCCTGTATGGGCCTCTCTGCGCTTCCTGGACTTGGGTGGCTATTTCCTTTCCCATGTTAGGGAATTTTTTGACTATCATCTCTTCAAATATTTTCTTGGGTCCTTTCTCTCTCTCTTCTCCTTCTGGGACCCCTATAATGTGACTGTGGCTGCGTTTAATGTTGTCCCAGAGGTCTCTTAGGTTGTCTTCATTTCTTTTCATTTTTTTTTACTTTATTCTGTTCCACAGCAGTGAATTCCTCCATTCTGTCTTCCAGGTCTCTTATCTGTTCTTCTGCCTCAGTTATTCTGCTATTGATTCCTTCTAGTACATTTTTCATTTCAGTTATTGTATTGTTCATCTCTGTTTGTTTGTTCTTTAATTCTTCTAGGTCTTTGTTAAACATTTCTTGCACCTTCTCGATCTTTGCCTCCATTCTTTTTCCGAGGTCCTGGATCATGTTTACTATCATTATTCTGAATTCTTTTTCTGGAAGGTTGCCTATCTCCACTTCATTTAGTTGTTTTTCTGGGGTGTTATCTTGTTCTTTGATCTGGTCCATAGCCCTCTGCCTTTTCATCATGTCTATCTTTCTGTGAATGTGGTTTTTCTTCCACAGGCTGCAGGATTGTAGTTGTTCTTGCTTCTGCTGTCTGTCCTCTTACATGAGGCTATCTAAGAGGCTTGTGCAAGTTTTACTGATGGGAGGGACTGGTGGTGGGTAGAGCTGGCTGTTGCTCTGGTGTGCAGAGCTCAGTAAAACTTTAATCTGCTTGACTGCTGGTGGATGCGGCTGGGTTTCCTCCCTGTTGGTTGTTTGATCTGAGGCGACCCAACACTGGAACCTACCTGGGTTCTTTGGGAGCTAATGTCAGACTCTTGGGGGGCTCACACCAAGGAGTACTTCTCAGAACTTCTGCTGCCAGTGTCCTTGTCCCTTGGTGAGCCACAGCTGCCCCCCGCCTCTGCAGGAGAACCTCCAACACTAGCAGGTAGCTCTGGTTCAGTCTCCCTGGGGTCACTGCTCCTTCCCCTGCGTCCTGATGCGCACAGTACTTATGTGTGCCCTCCAAGAGTGGAGTCTCTATTTCCCCCAGTCCTGTCAGAGTCCTGCAGTCAAATCCCACTAGCCCTCGAAGTCTGATTCTCTAGGAATTCCTCCTCCCATTGCTGGACCCCCAGGTTCAGAAGCCTGACTTGGGGCTCAGAACCTTCACTCCAGTGGGTGGACTTCAGTGGTATAAGTGTTCTCCAATTTGTGAGTCACCTACCCAGCCTTATGGGATTTGGTTTTATTGTGATTGCACCCCTCCTACTGTCTCATTGTGGCTTCTCCTATGTCTTTGGATGTCGGGTATCTTTTTTGGTGAGTTCCAGTGTCTTCCTGTCGATGATTGTTCAACAGTTAGTTGTGATTCTGGTGTTCTCGCAAGAGGGAGTGAGAGCACGTCCTTGTACTCCGCCATCTTGGTTCAGGCTCTAAAGTCTTAACAGAGGAGAAAATCTTCTGACAGAAAGGAGTAAAACACATCCTTAAACAAGGGATTGGAGAGCACAGCAGAGGCTCCCAAACCAAAGTATTGTTGTAGGAAGGAGATGCTCTAGAAACTTTCTTCAGGTGTCTTTTATCCTTTTCAGGCATGAGCACCCTTCAGACCATATCCCGGGGAGGTTGTATCTCCTGCTGACAGGTAGACATTCACTAAGGTTTAAAGGGCATTGATGATTCTCATCTTATATTGGAGAACATCAGAGAGATATAAAATAGTTAAGTGAACCTGACTTCTCAACACTACTTTTCCCGACTCCACTCTTCCCATAGGGAGTTACAGAACACAGGGAAGTGAATTAAGGGGTAGAATTCGGTTTGACTCCCAGTTCCTCTCTCCAGCCATGTGGTCACCAACAAGTTACTTAAAAGCTGAGCTTTAATCTCCTCATTTTAAAAATAAACAATATTTTATAAAGCATTTCTCTCATGATTCTTAAATATTCTTTCCACAAATCTGTGTAGTACTTCGAGTAGTATACACATGGAAGCTCTATTCCATTATTTTGGCTTTCCATTGAAAGGGGGGTATTTCTAGCTTTTTTTTTTTTTTTTTTTTTTTTGCTTTACCGTGTGGCTTGTGAGACCTTCCCTGGCCAGGATGGCCTCTAGGCGCGCAGGCTTCATTAGTTGTGGTACGCGGGCTCAGTAGTTGTGGCACATGAGCTCTAGAGCGCAGGCTCAGTAGTTGTGGCACACGGGCTTAGTTGCTCCGCAGCATGTGGGATCTTCCCGGACCAGGGCTCGAACCCATGTCCTCTGCATTGGCAGGCAGATTCTTAACCACTGTGCCACCAGGGAAGTCCCCCTCTAGCTTTTTAAAGAATACTTAAAAACCTCTACTTTTTGAAATTTGTAGGAAATAACACTGCTTTCTGGGTTAAACTTAATTACTTCCTGTTCTTTTCCAGTTCTAACATTCTGTTGCTTGAACATGAGTAAGCAAGTCTCTATTTCTCAGTTTCCTCTTTTTTTATCATTCAGTTTTCAAAGCACTTAATTGTCCAGGGAGCTCATTATTAAACTTTTACTTCTGCCAAACACACACTTGTCAGGCAGGACTTTTCACTGTCAGAGGCTTTCTCTAGGGGTCCTTTTAGCAATTAGTGTTGCTTAACCTCTTGACTTAACAAAAGTTATGTGGGCTTTTGTGAAATAAAGTCATCAAAACCCCTTGTTCTCTGCTTTAGTTTGCTTAAGCCAAACATGTGTCTTGTAGCACAGTGCCAGCCTTATCTTGGCTCCCTTGATTTGCGCATGACCTTATCCAGGCTTGTCAAAGATGGCTTAATGTACTACTCAAGAGCATGGGTGCTGGAGCCAGAGGGCCTGAGTTTAAATTGCAGCTCTTCACTCAGGCAGTATGTCTTTGGGCCTTACCTGACCTCTCTGTGTTGTAGTTACTCTGTCTGTAAAATAGGGATAATAATAATACTTACCTCTTAGGGATGTTATAAGGATTAAATTAGTTAGTTCACAGAAAGACCTTGAAACTTCATCTGGTTTATAATGCAAGTTTTGAACAAATGCCAGATATGATGACAACTTTAGAGAAAACTAATAGTTGGCAAAACTGATTCCTTAACTGAAGGATGTTTGGGTTCTTTCCCGTGTTGTCATTAGGTGGCACTGGCACCCGGGTTATCTGCTCAGATTGTTATGACAATGCTAACATCTACTCCCGGACCCGAGAATACTGTCCATACACCTATATTGCTGAAGAGGATGTTCTAGATCAGACACTGTCCAGCCTTATGGTCCAAATGCCCAAAGAGACTTATTTGGCACATCTTCCCCAAGATGCCACCACCCTGGAGAGCCTGGTATCTGCAGCAGATAGAGAGATGTCTGCCTTTCCCACCAACCATGAGAGGATAAATGAGAAGAAACTTTCCTCCACACAGAAGAGCAGTGGTAAAGGGCACAGTGTTTTTTGTTATTTTGGTTTGTTTTCACTTTCACCTACTTGAGTTTTCCTTCTGTCATAAAGGTAGCACTCTCATTTGACAGAAGCAAACAAGTTGGTATAATGGAGTAATTAGCTACTATTAATTGATATAAACTAGAACCAAAGATTTTTAGAGATTAGATTTAGAAAGAAGTCTGGATCTGTAGGATGAAAACAGCTTTTGTGGGAGTAACAAGATCTTACTTCTAAAGATTCAGAAGCCATGTAGAAAAAGTTTCTATAAAGAAGTTTCATACAGGCACTACTTTTTTCTTCCATGTTTATTTAAATAATGGAGACTTGAAATGCTAAGGATATAATGATTTGGGCATAATTTGATGAAGATTTTCACTGAGAAGATTTAAAAATGTTTTATTTGGTTGCTGTTCTATCAGGTAAATGTTGAATGTCAGTATCACTTGGCAGGTATTTGCTTTCATCTGTGAAGTATTACAGTCAGGGCCATAATTGGGAAAGCAGTTTGGGGATAGTAGCCCAGGAAAAGAAACACATGTTATATTGTGCCGATGAGGCATTTGAAACAACCCAGTCAATAAAGCAAAGCAAAACAAAACAAAACTCTTTCTAGACCGTGAAGGGCACTACTGAGCATGTCTTCCTGTCCATCCAGGCTTTTTATCCACTGTCACCCTCCTGTCAGCCTGAAATGAAAGAGCACTGGAAATAGGGTGGGGCTTTGCACCGCTGGTTTACAGTGGAAGACATTGTATAGTGGTGCTTCCAGGGATGGTTCTGGCTGGAGTGAATGAAATGACATGGACTTTTAAGATGTGCTCTCTTGTTCTTAGTTAAGAGACCACCTCTAAAGTTTTCTAAAGAGGGTACAGGTCAGAGAAAAATATCCTGTTATTGAAGTTAGTCTCTTGTCTTTAAAATTCTGTGTCCATGAAAGAAAGGCACCAACACTAAATCCATTTCCCCGTGTCCTAGAAGAGATACACACACACAAAATAACTTTAAGTAGAACTAAAAATGCAGTATCTTTCCCCAACTTTAGGGATGTCTTAATCGTTAATCTGGTCTGTAAGTGAGGAAATCAGCAAATGAGAGTGCTTTGGTGCATTGCTTGTTCCTTAGCTCGGGTGCTCTAGCTCCTTGCTACTCAAAGTGTGGTCTATCAGCATCAGTATTACCTAGGAGCTTGTTAGAAATGCAGAGCATGGGTCCCACCCCAGACCTAGTGAACCAGAGTCTATATTTTAACACAGTCTCCAGGTTATTTGTATGAATATTAAAGCTTGAGAAAAACCCTGCTCTAGCTTACTTTGCACATGGGTTTTATTTTTATTTCTGAGTGTTTGTTTCTAGAATGTTTGGCTAGCTTTTCCCAAAATACATCCCCATGAAGTTAATATAACTTTCAGTAAATGTTCTCTGGGGAAAGAGCCCACCACTGCAGTAAATAATAATGAGAAATGCATATTTTTGAAGCCAAAGTACAGATAACCTGATTTAAAATACCAGCTTTTGGTTATTATTTTGTTGTTAGAGTTATTGGCTTGCTAGAAGCTGGAGGGGAATGGTTGTTTATTTTTAAAATGATTTTTTAAAATAAATTTATTTATTGTATGTATTTTATATTTGGCTGCGTTGGGTCTTTGTTGCTGCTCTCAGGCTTTCTCTAGTTGCGGCGAGCAGGGGCCACTCTTCGTTGTGTTGTGCCGGCTTCTCATTGTGGTGGCTTCTCTCGTTGCAGAGCACGGGCTCTAGGCATGCGGGCTTCGGTAGTTGTGGCACGTGGGCTCTAGAGTGCAGGCTCCGTAGTTGTGGCGCATGGGCTTAGTTGCTCCGCGGCATGTGGGATCTTCCTGGACCAGGGCTCAAACCCATGTCCCCTGCATTGGCAGGCGGATTCTTAACCACTGTGCCACCAGGGAAGCCCAAAATGATTTTTTTTAAGATAAGCATTTAATTGTTATTTAAAGATACAATGACTGCACTGAATCAATAATTTTACTTATGTATTGTGCAACTTTCATTACTATATGGATACTAATTCTCTTTTAGTCTGTTTCCACGTGTCTAAAGAGTTTTAAGTTTTATAGCAGTAGAAACACGAGTAATAGGTGAAAGCAGATGGCACAGCATGGTTTCAGTAATTAATTGGTAAAGTTGTTGAGTAGAAGTGTTTGAAAGACCATGGTTTCAGTTTTTGTTTTGTTTTCTTTTTTTTGTTTTTGCTAAGAAAATGGCAAGTATACATTTTATCTTAACGTCCTTATTCAGGAATACTGGGTTATTTCTTATTATTTCTTTGAAGACTTGGGTAGAAGAAAATTAAGTTTTAGAAAATTAATTTTATACTTCCATTCACCACTGATAATTATTACTGTCTCTCGTTCTCAGAACCCTTGCAGCGGCCTCTGTGGAACATAAGCAAAGAACCAGGTATGCCTCATCCTCCTTTATCGCAGCAGTCAGTCTTTGAGTCACCACAACTCCATCAAAACGAGGGCCTGGCAGAGAGTGATCCAGACTGTTCCACTTCCCCCATGCCCTGTCACAGGTTACACGACCACACTTTTGATTTTAGTAGGACTCGGAACATTCAAGATGGCAGTGAGGGCACATGAAACTCACTCCAGAATGAAATCTGGGCAGACTCAAATTAGTTGATTTTGTATTTACTACCTCAGAGTTTGGAAGAAACCCCAAAGTCAGCATTTGCTTTGCTCTTTGTCTACAATTACATCTGACCACATCAAGGGGGCCCAGACATTTGTTTGGGCTTATACTTGACGAAAAAAGGGTAATGGCTGACAGAAATGGGTACATCTAATAGAATATGTGCAACACAGGAGGAGGAAGATAGAGGACAGAGTGCTGTCTTATGGTTCTACTGGGATGTGCCCAGGTGCTCATTGCCTGTTAGGGAGAGTCTCATTGCTGCTTAACACCCTGGATTGTCTCAACCTACCGAATGATCCTGAGTAAACAACGCTGTTCTATTTTGCCTTCCAAGGAACAAAAATAACTTTGGAGCCCCCCGGGAAGTGTGCCTGGGATTCTGCAGTGGTTTTAATCCTATAGTTGAGAGTGGGGCTTTGATATTCAAGGTCTTCGACAAGAATCCTAGACTTGACCAACTACTGCTAGGTCGAGTGTTTTGTATTCTTGTGAATCTCTCTCTTTCTCTCTCTCTCTTTTTTTTTTGGTCCCTGTCACCCAGGGATCTCACTGTATATATATGTGCATTTATAAATAATTTTCGTATTCATTGGTCATATGTGTTGCAATGTAAATATTTTTGATACGCCAAAATTATATATAATATTCAGTTATAATATTGACAGCTGCTTCTCAGACCACAGATTTTGTACAACTTGGTTTAGTGAATCCAAAGACTTTGTTTAAAGTTTTAAATACGTATTTGTTAAGAAGTATAAGTATAGAAGCAGGGTACCTAGTAATTGTGTACACACAAACACAATCTTGGTGTAATTAACCACTTTCTTTATGCCTAAAGATTTGTACAGCTAATCATTTGTCATCTGTTTACAAGTGCCAGGTAATATAATCTTTCAAAATATAATCTTTCAAAAAGGCTTTTTCAAACGACTAGCAGTCTTGTCATTGTTATATGCACATAGATAAAGGAAAACTTGTTTGGGGAATATCTTCCTTCAGCAAAGTACTTAGTTGATGAGGAAACCAAAGATTGCTTTTTTTCTGTGTGTGTGTGTGTGTGTGTGTTTTTTAAAATAATATCTCTTCTACCAATGCACAGTATGTCTTAAGAAGGGAAGACTGCTTTTGGGAGTAGAAGAACGTGCAGAAATTCTTATACTGTAAAGCTTTAGAGTGGTCCTTGTTTTGTACAAGTGATTTTTTTTTTTGCGGTACACGGGCCTCTCAACTGTTGTGTCCTCTCCTGCTGCGGAGCACAGGCTCCGGATGCGCAGGCTCAGCAGCCATGGCCCACGGGCCCAGCCGCTCCGCGGCATGTGGGACCTTCCCAGACCGGGGCACGAACCCGTGTCCCCTGCATTAGCAGGCGGACTCTCAACCACTGTGCCATCAGGGAAGCCCTGTACAAGTGATTATTTAAGCCAAAAAGTTTTCTTGAATTTCTGATAGCAAAAAGTTTTATGTAAACAAAAGACTTAGTGCTCTAATAAAGTGTAATGGACTAAAGCTCTTCTTTCTTTCTGCTTTCAGAAAAAAAAGGCTGTTGGATTCTATCCTCTAAACTTAGTGAGGACTAGTTACATACTAGATGACTTCAACCACTTAAATGAAAATAATCTATTTCTAAGTCATTGTGCATTTCAAGGGTTTTAAACTCACATAATTTCTCAGCTCTTTGCCAGGAAGTTTAGCTGAATTTCATACTGTTTTTCAATCCTAAATTTTTCTCCCATAGGCAGCAGCACTTTTCTAGCTGTTTTATGCCATCATGCATTTGTCTTTTTCCTTTTTAAATTGTCAGCCTCTCTTCATTTTCACTTTGAACTCCTTAAGTATCACTATTTTCTTCTCCCTTCAATTTCTGATTCATCTTCTTACTTTACTAGGTTGTAGTATAATTTGTACTGGACTGACTTAGAATCACGAAACCTGATTTAGTTCCTAGCTCTGCTGCTTACTAGTTGTGTCATCAAGGGCAAGTCCCTTTACATCTCAGCCTGACTTTCTCATTTATGAAATGAGGGCATTTTACTAGATGCTTTAAAGCCCTTTCCAGCTGTAACATTCTGTGAATCTGTGATCCCTCCTGGAATCAAGGAAGATTATCTACTCTAATAAAAAGCTGCTTTCGTGAAATATTTTTTAGAGTAGAACAGGAGTGATGCTGCTTACTCTGACTTGAGCCAGATTTATTTCCTCTCTAGCAGGAGTAATGCTATAAGAAATCCTCATAAGGAGAAGAAATATTCAGCTTCTAAAACAGTGTCAGTAAACATAAAGAATCTTGAGTAGATTGAGAACCACCCATTGCCCTCCAGAACACCAGGTCTGAATGCTAGTATTACAATACACCAGAGTATCAGAATCAGTTGAGAAGTGTGCCACAACTAATTTGTAACTAGTTTGTGACTCACCTTTCTAAGGTATTCAAGGTCATCTCTCTAATTATAGTACTCTGACATTCTGATGGACTTTATTTAGTGAAAAAAGTGGAGTTAGAACAAGGCTGCAAGTGAGCATCAGCTGTTACGTGTGAGAGGACAAAAAACAGGCTGCAAACCAGTGCTCTAGAAAACTTAAAATACATGATTGCTGCCTCTGCTTTAGCAGTGGTCTTTCTACTGCCAGTGGTGTCAGGCTTGTCTCCCGAATAGCCAGGTTCTCTGTCAACTCGGATGGTTGAGATATCCTCCCAGGTATTGCTAGCTTTCCTAAATAACTAAAAAACTTGCCTGAAAAACTAGTCAGGAATTTGTTTAAATGTGAATAGCCTATCCCTGGTCTTAAAAAATAGTAAATTTCATAAATTCTAATTATAGGAGTTGGAATTCCTGAAATTTTCCAGTATTGCATATGTAGAGCATATAGCAAATGCTCTACTATAAACTGGATTAGTGGCTCATCTGTGTTTCTTCCCATCAGTGTAATGTCTGCCTGCCACCAGTTTAATCAAAAATGTTGCAAAAGCAAGGCAAACTAAAATGCTGAGAGAAATATTGTCCCAGTTACCACTTCATATCAGTAGGGATACATAAATTCTCTTAATTTGTTTGTGCCCCTCTTAGACTGATTCTGTAAGTATACCTGGAAGAAGAAATAATATTGTGCTTGTACTCCAAGTCTTCCTGCCACAGTCTATGCCTGACCCGTTGGCTGCCTGTCACTCAGTAGCCTCTAAAGTGCTTTCCCTAGATGTTAGTTAATCTGTAGGATAGGAAATACCAGAAACCCAGCCCAGTGTGCCATTCCCTCTAATGTGCCATCTTAGAATGCTTTAAATGTGTATTTTCTCTGTAAGGTAACTTTCATATTTAAAAACAGTTGCCTTCACATTGCCCATTGGCAGGTTGTAAAAGAAACATTAAGATGTTAAGCAACTTAGACTCTGTTATCCATTTTCCTAAGAAAAGGGAGAGATGATAAAAGTCTTTAGTTACTTAAAGGGTTGTCATATGAAACAAAGATTAGATTCACTCTTTTTATTCCAGCGGACAGGGGTCATATCAGTGGGGAAGAAGTTACAGGGAGATGTAGTACACGCTTGCCAATAATTCTATATAAGCTAACACTCTAACAATTAGATTTGTCTGACAATTGGAATAATCAGCCTTTCATGGAAAAAGTATATACAGAAGCTAAATAATCATCTGTTAATAGCATTGAAGAAATTTCTGCATTGAAATCAAATATGGGGAAGATGACTTTCAGCTCTCTTTCAATCTTATCATTGGAAATCTTCAGAAGCAAGACAGGCTTAAAACTTTGTCTTTCAGAATTCTTTATATACAGTAAGTGTGGAACACTTAAAAAGATTTTTTTTTTTAAACTAAAAGATTATGTTCTTTGATTGACAAAAGGAGCCAGTTTTGTGTTAATGGCTGAAAACATGAAACTCTGGGCTTATTCTTCTGAGAAAATCTATAAGGTTCCTAACCCAAATGGTATGACCATAAGAAAAACTTTTAAAGCCTATAATGTATTATAACCTTCCCTTTTACTCTTTAATTTTTATTCCTGTTTCTTTGTATCAGTGGGACTCCATTTGGAATGGGGTTGGAATTGTGATGTTCACGTTTATACCCAGTATTTTACCCGAGTGTGTTATGGCATCTTCTTATCATTTTAATATCCACAGAAATGCCAAATGGGTAATGGAGTATCCGAGGTAAATTGGCTGTCATTTTATGCTACAGCCTCCATTTCTTACTTTGCTTCTTGATGCAGATTACTGAAGTAATTGTGAAACAGTTGGACCTTAGAAAGTTGAGCTAAGATTTTTAGGCAACCTGTAAGTAATGATTCATTTTTCTCTTACGTGGTCTATTTCCCAGTTCACTGTGGCAGATGTTTTTCCCTCTTCTAATTTAAAACATTTTTGTTTGGAGTACAATCTAAGCCAACATCAGTTAGCCTTAATTTTCTTCCTTCCTTCCCCCCTTCCTCCCTTCCTCCTCGTTTGTTGACAAAAATAACATGTTCTGAATTGAGATATGTTATAAGCTTCTCTTAACAAAACAACACCTGAAAGCCCACAAATCATCTGGAGGTTTTGTGGGTAGTAAGGGGTAGGGGTGTGTGTGTGTGTGTGTGCGTGCATGCGTGGGTGAGGAGTAATATTGGGACCTGCTCCTTCAAGGTTGTGTGTTTGAGTGTTTCTTAACAATCCTAATAATCTCCACCAATAGGTGGGGTGAAGGTGAATAAAAAGCTTGATTTGAGCCTGTTTTCAAATGTAAGGAGTAGACTGATCTTCTGTCAACTCTGTCTTTAAAGAGAAATTGATCATCGGGGGGTCAAGTGCTCTTGGAATATCTTTTGGCTACTTAAAGTGGCCACCTGATCCATTGAGAGACTACTTCTACCCTCTACTTTCCCCCTGTTCTCCCTTTTACCCCTATCAGAGGATGTCAGTCTGAGCAGCCCTGGTACTAGATGTACCTAAAGAGAGTTATAAGCCAAGTTGTTGTGTTCAGTGTGGCCATTTCTAGTGTCTATTTATATTTTCTCACACATGAGAATGTATATTTTATAAAGCATGTGTTTGTCTGCTTGTTTGTCTACTGTAATATGTCTTCAATAAAGCTAAAATACATTATGATTTTCTGGTCTTCTCTTGCCTAAAGGACAGGAATGAAATGGTTCATTTTTAAGTTTGTGATCCTTTTGAGAGGGTCTCCAAATAGCTGTGCAAGTTAAAATGGGAAAGAGTTGCCCTTCTCTAGTTCCTGCCGTGTTTAAGAGTCACACACACAGCCTCGAGCCTGCCACTGGTGCACCCTGCAATGTGAGCTGCTCCAGGCAGGCACTGTGCACTCTCTTCTTTCTCCTTCATGCTACCCACCAGGGTGCTGTACACTTGGCAGGATGAAAACAAACACACCTAATGGTTTGTTAGAAAACAAGAGTGCTTTCTGCACCGAGAAGAATTTGAAGGCAGTGTTTCTAATCTGGTAAATCTTTAACAAGATATTTGAAGAATGTCAGTATTCTGGTCAGCTTCCTCACTGTACCATGTTAGGGGCTATTTCCTTTGAGTCTGTCAGCTCTTTGAAGGCTGAGCTGACAATACTGATCCCATCGTCACCTGTGCTGTACTTTATTCTTTATGAGGCACATCCCACAGACATTATTTTATTTGACTCTCGCAGCACTCTTAAGATGTAGATTGGGCAGAGGATTTTAATCTCCACTTTTTGTAGTTAACAAAAGTGGCTCAGTTAGATTATCACCTACACAATGTCAAAAAGCTTTTAAAGCCCGAATTTGAATGCAGAATTTCTGACTCATATTCAGGATTTTTCCCACTGTGATACCTTCCAGTTCTGAACAGAGTATTATGTCTCCAGTCTCTATAAACATTGGAATAAAAGCCTCTGGACATTGATCACTTTCAATATGGTGAAAGTCTGGACTGGAATGTATACTGGAAGTTGATTTTTACTTTATTCCCGACTATCGTTTTCTTATTAGGTGGAATGAAGGAAAATGCCATGGTTTTATCATATTTTTTGTTTTGAAATGAGATGTACTAGGGCCCCAGTAGTAGGGTCCTGCTGAGTTATGAAAGATATTTATTCGCACTCCGCTATTTAGAAGCTTGTAACCTAGTGCTGAAGTTGTCTGTGCTGCAGGACCAGTTGCCATGGACCATTACTTTTGTAAAATATAATAAGAATGAATTTCTAGAAAAATAAAGGACACAAAATAA